TAGCTCCGTACTGGAACAGGTAGATTAGGCTTCATATATTTATAGCACTGTTTCAGAAGTTTCCAAACTGCTAAAACTGGAATTATAGGCCCAACACAATATTTACCACTGGCCTACCGCAGCCAATCAGCTTCTGGCTGACGGGGCTGCAGCTAGCCGCAAGTCACAAAAGACACTGCTGACCATTCACTGCATCCTGACCTTTCCCCAGTCCTCTCGACTATGTCCTGCCGCTGGCTACAGACGGACTGGGACGAGAGAGTGAGGCTGACTACCTGCGCAACTCTCCCTCACTGTAGTCCAAGTCAAGCGCAAGTCATGACTTCATTTTTCCAGCCATCTCCGGACCCACAGTCACCGTCAACAGACCAATTTGTGAAGTTATGGTCATCTTCATAAGCGAAGGACGAACAACAACAAAAGGCAAATGAGGCAGGGGTAAACTCGGAGCATCTTACTTCGGAACTTTAACATATGGTTGAAGGGGAACGACCAGGATAATAATGTAGGATTTCTTAGACCATCGAGCAGAGTAATGAATGGCGAACCATGATCGCCTATGACTGTTTCAGATCTGGCACTTTATAAATATGATGCTGTGTTGGGCGTACAAGTTGTTTTTGTTTTGTTTCTCTCTCTCTCTCTCTCTCTCTCTCTCTCTCTCTCTCTCTCTTCTCGCGTTCTGGTTGCCACTAAGCAACTACATACGCGCGTTTGTCTGCTCTGTACGAACTTCTTCTTCTTTGCCCAGTCTGTTCCTGATTCAACATAAACAGAAGGCCTAAGTACAGTAGATCGTTAATCAAGGCACTAGAACCTTATTCTCATCTCCTACCGAACAGAGATGACTTACGCACCGTAGGCATCTCACGGTCTAGGGCTAATCGTATTATAAATTATAATTACTGTTCCTATTTCAACCTAACTTATCCGTCCTTTCCCGGAGCCACTGATGTCCTATCTCTGTCTTCTGTTGTGCTCACTGCTTTTGATGATAGCAATGGCTGCTTAAACTAAACCACTCTCTAGGGAATAGTAAGGTAAATTGACTCATGAACGGATTATTGCGACGGGAGGGAGGGTGGAGGGTGTTCTAGGAGAAAGGGAAAAGAAGGAAGGATGGTTACTAGAGAGGGAGAGAAAGGGGAGGCGAGGAGGGGAGAGGGTGGGAGAAAGGGTGGAGAGGGGGAGAGAGGGGGGTATAAGGTCTGTAGATAGACAAATGG